TATTGCACAGAGGTTGCCGAAAAGTTATTGTACATACATTGTTGATTAAACAGTGATCAAGAAGTATCAAGCTTAATTTATTTTAATGGCACAAGTAATCACATACATGTATATTTATGGGGAACGGGAACGGGAACGAAATATAACGGGAAAACGGCAGTTTGTGTGATAAAAAAAATATTAGCAGACATATGAAAAATGAAAGCAGCATGAAAAAGTACATTAAGATTTGCAAAGGATTTCTTTGTGGAAGATTGTATACTGTGGATTCAATTAAATTGATTACTTGTACAATTAATTCAAGGGTATTCTATATTCGTTTAAAATGTATGTCTGTTTGCGGCAATTAAAATGATTACATAATTTCAGCACTGTTCAGCAACTGCACATGTACCAAAATATCAGATATATAGAAACATGGAGTAACCATTTATCCCATAGTTAGGTTTTACAAATTCATTTTTCGATAGTTAGCCGTTAGATATATGGATAGATCACAATTTACTCAGTGTAACGCCTTGCAGGATTTCATTTTTTTTCCCTACATTTTTCATCAACACCATTCAAAGTTTCTGTTTTATTTCTTTTAGAATAGCTTCATTTGTCTGATTAAGAAGTTGATTTCCTTGTGTTTCAGATTTTATTCTGTGGCTTATAATCATATGGAGGGGCATTAATTTCAGTCAATATTTAATTTCAATGGACTCCTCGATTTCTATACTTAATTGAACTCCAACATCACTGACAAGTCCTAGGAGGACGAAACGACTGTATGACGTACAATTTTGTTTAATTTCACCCTCAAACTTATAGATGAATGGTAAGTTATCATTACATTTTTTGAAATATATATTAAAGTATACCTTTCATTTGTAAACATTCAGTACAAGCCGTCACGCTATCACCTTTAAAGTGATTCTTAAAATATTAACATGTCTGTAAACAAAACAAAATCGGCCAAGAAGATGTAAACAGAGCTGTATGTACTGATAACTATAAGATGAGGAGTAAGAGTGACAACACGCCATGCCGGACATGCTGGATGGGTTAATAAAAGCACTTACGTCTTGCTTAAACGAGAGAAAATTTAACAGCAAGCTATTTCTACATTACACGTAAATGGATGGCAATATAACCAATTTACTTGTTTTATTGTTTTAATCCTTTCTTAATCATCCTGTTTTCAAAGATACAAACATACATAACTTTTTGTACTTCAAGATGACTTCCCTATGAAAAACAAAATGTGTATAACATCAAGGTCTAAACGACTATTTATATTCAACACACATGCATACACAACATTACACATCTCAAACATTGTATTAAAAAGTTAGCAGATTTCAACACAGTGTAAGTTATGTAATGTTATTGGATTGTGCTTCGGTACAAGCAACACCATGGTTTGTTTACATATCTACATACATTGTAGATATTCAACATAACTTATCGCGAAACGAAGCTCTCAGAAACAATTTGCCATGTATACTCACACAGAGAGAGTCCAGGCTGTCCAAGGGTCAGAACGAGGCTGATTAGGACGATTGTCCCACCCTCCATCAGGTAAGTGACCAGGCACGGATTAAAAGACCTGAACTGTGGAAAGTGATAAAATATATCTTTATACAGCCAGTGAAACGGGAGCGTCTACCTCAACCAGGAAGTAATGTGTCACACTTGTAATTTCATATGTGACGTGCCATGTTGTTGCATTGTCCAAATGTAGCTGTATACAATTTGTCCACATCCTCCTAATCCTTATTAGCACACACCAGCCGGATGAGAACTCAGCAACGTCACATTTACTGAAGGTTGATAAAATTAAATTGATAACGCTAAAAACACAGACATCATTAAATAAAAAATCATGTAAATATTTACCAATAGTCTTCACCTTTATTACTGAATGTAAACATAACCCTTGCTGGAGACGTCCTAAACATACATACATACATTTCCGTCTCTCGAAAATCTTCTTAGTAATTATTTCTTCTCTTTGTCCTCGACATAAATCTCTACTTGTATCCGTTTCTCTTATGCTTAGGAAGTTTATGATGTTATAAGGTCTAAAGAGATATCTCAATTAATTCGCTTTGTCATTCTTATTTTATTTGGTGTCGAATTGCAATCTTTTCTCTAAATATTTTACAGAAAGCTGATATCTATTGTTAAAGATACGTCACGATACTACATCTTTTGACTGCCATGGATCTGTGCTGCTATAAAAAGATAAATTCATGAAAAACGTTGCGTCACTAATACAAGGAAATAACTCCCTAGAAACTCGCTATAAAAAGAAATACCTGATGTACATGTGAGATGAAAAAACAATGCATCCCTAGAAACACATAGCAGATATTATCGTTAATTTTATATGTTTTATTCTTTTCTTAAATCAGTGTGATACAAGGGCCTTAAATTTATTCTATTAATGATAAATATGGTTTTGACGGTAAAGAGAATTTCATTTTTGGATATGTAACTGAAGACAAAATAAAATTTTTAGTAAATACTTAGACTAGCTTTTGGCATGTGTCTATATATGTAAATTATGTTTGCTAATGACACAGATACAGATTTTAATATAAAAATGAGCTGACGATATCAACGATAAGCTATTTCATATTTGTTCATTAAGCAGCTACAACATTAGGTAAGAACACAATCAAGTATAACTGCGTTCTTTGGTAGTGGATTCATTTCAATCTATATAGATAGACGCTTTGAATGTTAAAGATATGGACTGTCACGAACATGTGGTTATAACCCTTTCAGGGCATTGTACTTGGACTAGACATGAGTGACATCAATAGATAGATAGATAGATTTATATTCATAACTTATAAAGAAATTAAATCGTTACGTTGGTTCGTTCAAGTTACGGGAATCTTAATTACATATATCATGGAGAATGCTGTTTGTGCAAACTAACTGATCCGAATAATAAATGTAAGAATTCAAGATGGCATTTTTTTTAAGTCTCTTACTTTTCTTTTTTTTTTTTTTTTTTTTTGAAATTTCTGTTTACTTATAAATATATATACACTTTCAGTTAAGCGTCCAGAGTGTGCGATATTTGAATTCAAGTGGATTATATATGTTCTTTAAGGGAATATACTGATATTCAAGTATTGAGGTAACGGCACAGAAACAATGGGTTAAATGTAGCAAGCAAAACACTGACTGGAGCCAGAAAATAATTTTAAGTCACGAAATATATTTCAATCCAGACTCCGCTGGAAATATAATGCTATTCTAACTGAGATCAAAAGTAGCAGAAAATAAGGCCGTCGTGACATAAAATTTATACATTGGTTTAGTTCCCTCATGACATGAAGTCTACTCAACATGAATTGTTGGTACTATAGTAATCGAAGTAAGAAAACTTTCCACCAAAGGAGTCCTAAGGACAAGAAGAAGGACAACACTTTCCCTTCAATATTCACTGTATGACATTACAAATAAGATGGGAAAGGGAAAACTTCAGAGTGGATCTTTTGATATGGCTTCGCATTGCTTCAGCAAACATGACATTAAAACACTAGAACATGACCATTATCATAGTCAAAGACAGGACACTACCTTATGGCAGAGTGACAGTTTTCGGAACATACTTCTGTTTTTAATAATAAAAAAAATGAACTGTGATTACAACACTTTTTTCGCAGATGATCTGTCATGGAGCATAACTACATTTATTATAGTTTTCACATGAACAAATTGTAAGTTGTTGAGAAACCAATTCATCGCGTCATCATCAATGTCCAATTGAATGCGTGTGCCAGGTGTCTTTTTTCACACTCTTGAAGGAGAGATAGGTAGATCTCAACCTAAGGGAAAAGATGATGAAGCTAGCAAACAAGGTAGACTTGACGAGTGTTTGCAACATAAACATTTTTTCCGAGGGTAGATATCACCCTGTCTCACCAACATGGGGATAAAGGATTATTTTCTCTTACCCTGCTGGCTTTATCAGATACTCACTTATAGTTTTGTTGTCTCATTGCTTCGTATTAGTGATATGATTTGATTATTGACGTGATGTCAGTGAATTGTTCCTGTGATTCCATCCCATTGTTCTGACAGGGGAATCACCCATCTCTATCTCAGGGCGAGACTGATAAAATCTGTTACCTGTAACTGAGCGAGATCAGGGTATCTCAGTCGAGAGCTAAGATCTGTTTTTGACTATGATAATCACCAAAATGATCATATTCTGGCGTTTTATTATCCTGTAACGTAATCCCATCCGAGGCGGTAGCCGAGGTTAGGATGTTACGGGATCTTAGCCCTGTAACTTAGCGAAATAGGGGTATCTCAGTCGAGGGCGAAGATCCTGTCACATAATCCCAACCGAGTCGTTAGCCGAGGTTAGGATGTTACAGGATATTAGCCCTATACTGATAAACCCCTGTAATATATGTAATAGGTTTTTTCTCGCACTTACTACTCTGAAATTATTCAATACTTACATCGGATAAGGCTGTCTGAGGTGCGAGAAATGGAAATCTCACACTGGTAAAAGGTGTGGATTTACCTGACCAGGGTAAGAGACAAGGACATCTCACACCGGTTAAAAAGTGAGGATTTTGCTGTCCAGGGTAAGAGAAAGAGCTATCCAGCAGCCACAGCATCACCATGTCAAGCAGATGAGAAAAACATATACACTTCAGTTGTTTAAGTTTTTATCAACATCGTGAAAGACAAGTGCAGTTGTATTTCTCTGGAAGAAAATAAAGAATTAAGATATCCTGAATTATGTCCTGCTGATGATCATTTACTACAACAGTCTTCATTTTGTTTCTCTAAGAAATACACGAATCAATTTATCCTATTTGTCACTTCATCGTTTTGAAAAATGCACTGAAAAAAGAAAATAATTTAGTTGACATTTATCGGACATACGCTTTACTACTATGTATATGCTACTTCTGCACGAATGCAAGCAAGTCATATTTATGGATTGAAAAATAGAAGAATGAATTAAATATTATTTTCTATTCCATTTTAAGGAAACATATGGCATATGGTATAGAAATTTTAGAAACCTACAGAAATATGAAATAAATATTCCCTTTTCTTTACAGCCAATCGATGATGAATCTGTGCCATTGTGCTCATTCTGGAACTTTTCCGAAGGGTGAGCTAGTCTTCTTATCATCTTAGTATTTTTAAATTTAATTAATTTCAAATACTTTCGATTAAAAAGCACAATTATACTGTCTGTCGATAAATGTGACTTGATTTTCATCCATATTACAGTGAATCGGGAAGCTGGTCCCAGAGCGGATGTGATGTATCAAATAGGACTCCCTATCGTGTCACGTGTCAGTGTAATCACCTAACAAGCTTTGCCATTCTACTGGACGTATCTGGAGTAGCAGTATGTGTCTTGTAACAAATGAAATGTTTGAAAAAATATGTTTAACTTTATAATCTACTTTATCAGACAATATCAAATTCTTCCGTACCATTACGCCATATCCGCTTTTCGACATCATGATTGATTTGGATTAAATCTCCACATAATCATTACAGGCGATATCAAATTATATTAATAAAACTGACAATGGGCTGCCATACATCACAGCATTATTAGATGCCTCTAAATGTACCGAGGTGACAAAGAAAATGCAAATGCAGTGATAAAATGTGCAAAAAAGACATTTCATGACACATAAGGTCAATTTCATATCTACGATATCTTGGCCATTCTTTCATATAAAATTGAAAGAATCAATTGCTGATATCGCAAAGCTTATCGATGTTGATCGTAACGCAATCTTCAGTGCACTTAAACTCAAAATGAATCATACATAATGCGCGGTCCACATAAACGATTCTCTCTATCAAGACAAACAGTGAATTTGATTGGTATGTTTTATGTAACTTGTTTTGAAATTGTTTAGAACATTTTTGAAGGATTTACATATTTTACAAAATTAAATTTTTCACCTACTGATACGTTTTCAATAAATGATTGTGTGAATTTATATTTACAGATGTCTAGTCACCATCACTCTATCCTGCGGTACATTACTTATGCTGGATGTATCATTTCTTTGATCAGCCTCTTCACAAGCTGGTTGACCTTCAACTGTCTCAGGTATACATAACGCAGGGCCTATAATTACTTCTCACTTGGTATACATAATACGGTCACCTGTCGATGGGTATACAGGGTGTATGACCTGTTGATAGACTGTTTTAGGAATACACAGGATTGCATAGTACACGGCTTGCTATATATGGAGTACGGGGTAACATTTTGTTTGTCCGCAAAAATCCTGATCTAAGGCCTGTTAACTACCTATATTTATTTGATATGCAGGATGTAAGGCCAATGGTTGTCTTCTCTAGAAATTCGTGGAGTGAGACGATTTTATTTGTGTACTGTGTAAGGTCCGTATTTCCACTGTATTCATAAATCTGGACCTACAATGCGTTTGACAGATATAACATTTCACACAGTGCGAGGTTTGAAATTCCAATTTAGCAACTTCATGTGGGCATACTGAATAGGATTCACATTCACCGCTTCATCGTTGTATAGATTTTGCTGTGTGTGAGTAACATACATTTCTTACAATAACACTAATATTTTAACACCTTATGTTTACCAGTCCACTACAGGGTGAAAGGAATTCCATCCATAAAAATCTTGTCTTTTCCCTGTTTGCTGCCGAACTTACTTTCATCGTTGGTATTGACCAGACAGATAAACAGGTAAGAGGGCTTTGTCGTTAACTTTAGCCCCGTAAAACAATACATTTGGTTCAGTATCATGTAAAACACGAATTTAACGGATTCGTTCAAAATAATTCATTACATCAATATTGCGTATTTTCCTCGCGTGTTATTTTGACTTCTGATCAAACGGCATATTTTCTTCCTCATAAGATAAAAATTTTGATTTAACATATTTTCTGAAGCAGTTGTCTCCTGTTTATCGTCTACAGGTGTCGTGTGCAGTTATCGCCCTTCTGTTGCATTTCTTTTTCCTGTCTGCTTTCACGTGGATGTTGATGGAGGCCGTACAGATCGTCATTATGTTGGTCCAAGTTTTCGATACAGCCAAGTCTAACCTGAAATACTTTTATCTGGCCGGATATGGTACGAAATATTACAGAGGAATGTAAGATAGAAACAACAATAATATCAGAAAAAACAACAAGAAGAAAAGTTTCAAAATTAAACAATTTTCAATCGATTTGAGAGAAAAACCATATATGATTTGTTTTATATATATATTTATATATATATTATGTTGTTTGTTTCTCTCTTCTACATAGGCATTCCTATAGTTATAGTGGCAACCACTGCCGGGATAGACTTCACAGCTTATGGCACACCACAATAGTAAGTATACGGATTATTACAAGGACAGAATTATAATACCAGGCATTTAATTTTATGGAATAATGATGAAGCTCAACTTAAAAGAGACATCGTCTTTGCACTTTGATATTTGTTTCAATTCTTTAAGGAATGGAAGTCAGTGTCACTCATTGATTGATTTGTTACATAATTTGCTTAATCAAAGACAGGTTGTTGTTGGTAGTGTTTACATAATTAGTGATATTTATCCCTTGCAGTTGCTGGTTGACAACGGACCGTTTTTTCATCTGGAGTTTTGCAGGACCTGTTGCTGCCGTCTTGCTGGTACATAATATCTCATTCGTAAACGATATGCGCATAAATGGTGTTATTATTGTTTCTATTTGTAACCCTTTCATTTTTATCATGTCACAGTTGGTTTGTCAAGGAGTTCAATTTTTTCACCGAAATATGACCTCTTGGGGTTTTCTTTCTGACATTGTTGTTGACGATCATTTTAAAGCAATATGATAACAACATTCTACACAAGAATGGACCAAAGACAGCTCTATGGTTACAGTTTTGATAAAAATTATTGTACCGATTAATTACTACAGGAAACACATTTAATGAAATTAATCAAATATTAAGTTAAAATAACTATGCTGCTATGAGGAAAGACAATTTTATAAGATTTTGTCATTTTGTTGTTCATTTCAGGTGAATGCTGGGATATTGACTTACGCAATGAGCACAGTGTGTCGCCATTCGGATTATGTATTTTCTAGAGAAAAGGCAAATGCCGGGAATTTTAAGTAAGACTTTATCTTTAATATTTAATTGTCTTTTTGTGGTTAATAAACATATAAAACTTGAAACGTTAAATCAGCTATTATTAAACACTCCCTCTGGATTGTATCTTGTTGTTTTGTTTCAGGGCCTGGATACAGGGTGCTTTCGCCTTAGAGGTTCTTCTCGGTCTTACCTGGGTGTTTGGCTATTTTTTCCTCAATGAAGAGACTGTCACAATGGCTTACATATTTACAGTATTAAACAGTCTTCAAGGCCTTTTCATCTTCATTTTCCATTGTCTACTCAATAAAAAGGTAAGGGGGAATATCTGAATCTGCAATTTTATTAAACATTTAAATGGAAATTGTATAATACAACCTTATATTTATTATGATTGATTGATTATACTGATGGGCATTGGTAAAATGGTTTAGTAAAACATACAATCGTCGTGATTTATGTATAGCAGGAATAAATAACCCCCGTAACAGTTAAACAACATAAAAACGTGTTTTTGTGCATCTCGCAAAGATATTCACATGTGGAAAGTTCTGAAGTACTACAACGAGTATTTTATATATTTCTATTGTATAATTTTATGTCGATACAATTGGATACATAACTCAGGAATGTATTTATGTATTACAGGTTCGAAATGAATATAAAAAGTTAGTTCATATCAGTAAGAAGGCCCCTGTTCTCTCGTCGACGAAGTCAGCATCTTTGCGCAAGAACGATGGATCATATGCCCTTTAATTGCATCCATACGGCTTCACGTCTTCTGCTCAACCTTTTCATTGACGACCAGTAATATTCCTTTGTCTTCATAAGAGTATCCGTATCCTGAAAATGGATCACGAATTAAGTCTATATACAGACAGAAACAACAGCTTTTGATGTATCGAAGTCTATCAACGAACTGAAATGTTCAAACGAAACAAATCAGAAATACATTGTATATTGTGCTTTTTAAGCGATTTTGTGTACATTCATTTCAGCGTGGTGGCAACGGGTGTTATCTTTGTTGTTTTTAAAACGGATATCTGTGCACAGTTATTTTAAAGTAAAGTTTCAGCGTAACTTTGTTCATAAATTGTTTCTACCTGGTTGTATTCCATAGCAAGACATCATGGAAACAATGACATACGTTACATAGGAAATTATTTCTTTATACTCCTCTGCAATTGTAGTCGTTGTTATATTGATATGACTTTGTATGTATTGAGATTATTGCTAGTTTCTATTGTTTGAAGTGTCAGAGAAATGCATGATCATATTGATTAACCTTCGCATAAGGTACTAGTTTAACTAATAATTGAATTAACACAACCTTATTAATTCTGATAATCCCAAATTCTCAACATTCGTCTATGAAAGCAATGGTTTACATTTCTTAATTCGTCTCACATCTAACATGTAGAAAATATGTGCTTGCTTTGCGGTATTAACCTATGAAGACCATCACGTGCCTTTAATTGGCCACGATAGTGCTCGGTTTGCACCCCACTCTTCCTAAAAACACCTTACAGTATATCATCTTTCAACTGACCAGACAATTTGAGCTACTTCGTATGAAGACAAATGCTTCCATGGCTCTAGTTTTTTTGAGGTGAGGATGATATCCTTGGAAATCCATCAGTATTTTTGTTCTTGTTTTTTTTAGTTTTGTCACTTAGTGTACCTCTTCATTTCACGTTTGTGTCATATTGTGTCATATTATGCCCTGGCATTTCAACAAATACTTAATTCAACACTAAAGCACTCTTGCGACTTTCTTAAGAACGTTTTTCGCCATATTGATGTAATGTTTTGGACACCCAAGCCTTATGACGTACATGTATAGCGATTAATCGTATTAGTTTTAAAAGTCAGAGCTATAAATTTTATATTTTCATAGTACTTCTATATCATACTTAAATGTAAAATAAGCTTGGAAAATGTACGTGTGCAAGCTATTCCGCATAATTTGTATGTATTTCTATGTAGTTTACTTTGTTTTCAAGTGCCAGTATGCTACCATTAGTGTTCGCCATTATATCATATGCTTTGTATTGTAGGTAGAAGTTTGAAAACTTTGTATGCATATTAATGTGATATGTCAGTATTTTATGTTATTGTGATAACAAGGCCAAGTTATGTGTTCAATAACCTTATCATATTTTATTGTTATCTAAGGATTCAAAGATTTTCTCATTTATTTTCGACGTTAAATACCCAGATGTAAAATTTAATCTTGAGCACAGAAAGAATGCAGATTTTGGACAAAGATAGTGGTGAACCATTCTGATTTGCTTAATACGGTTCCATTTGTCCATCAGTAGTATATATAGACAGCTAAGAGGGTTCGATAATGGCGGTTTATCAACTGTTTTATGCCCCTGTCATATGACCTAAAACATGGGATAATTTTTGAGAGCTTATGTCAGTGTCATTTATAGATATATTTAGTTGCATGAAATCAATGTAATATCTTAAAACAGGTTGATGAATTGTATTTTATGACTGTTGCAAACGTATTTGATACACGACATAGATTTTGAAACAAAAAACAAAAAACGCAAATGGTGCATTCAACATCTGATTTTGTGCATTGTTTTAACAGACTTCATTGAACATTGACGAATTGAATTGATTTTTTCATGTAACATATTTTTTTGCTCAAATACCGAAACAAAAATGACGTGTTGGTTTTACTTTTGCTTATTAAAAACAAAACGTAACAGTTGTTGTATTAAGTTGAAGAGAGAAACAAAAGTATTCTTTATATATGACATTAAATAACTTCCATATACGAGCCTGATATAACACGTAAGTTTATTCTAGTATGGTTTAGATACTGGCATGTCTGGTAATATATGAAATTCACTCAGTGCTTGGATGTATCTAATATGCTTGATATTGAAATTCTCAATAAATCTTTACGCTAAATATCGTACAACATGTTAATGTATCTTCAGTCATATGATCACACGGCAACGCATGCGTATGTTAACATTACCAATGCGTGTGGGTAATGACATCTTGCTGTAGGGTAAATAGTTGTTCCTGTATATACGATGTTAGCCCACACACTAGCACATGCATTAGTTAATTCTTAACTTACATTTACTTTCGTTTATTAGTCTGAGAACGCGCATACCTAATTAACTTAACATGAATATGGTTAAAAAGTTTCGAGAAAAATAAAGCACGTAAAAAGAATATACATTATTAGGTTAAATTAAGGTTAGGTTGGGAAAATCTAATTCTCACTATAACTCTGTACCCTTTAGTAAAATGTGTTTGGAACATGATCGGTGTTGAGAAAAGGTATTAAAGAAATTTGCGTTCTGTTCCAGTTTAAAGTCATCTTAAATGATTAATATATGTAAGGATTGTACCTGTATTGGAAATTGAAGTTGTAAAGAACAAAAAAAACATCAACCTTTAGCTTTCATCGTCATCTTTCATAATCTCATGACATAATCAAATGTTTGAAGTTTGTTTAACTGTGTGTTTTTGTAGCTACATGATAAATAAAATTGTTATTTTTGTAGGTAAATGTTGTCCACGTTATTTTTTTATGAATCTGGCATGCTGCCAATATTTGTCCCTTCGCCAACCCATGACATGCCACTAATGACGTCAGTGGCTTCAAACAATTGCTTTTTCTACTTCGATACCTTGGTTAAAAGTGTTTCAGGGTTCAAGGAAGCGGAAGCATTACTGCATCATGGGCATTTTCTAGTTGAATAAATACTTTGAACAATAACATTTATATTTGCCATTTTCTTCGATCAATTTTTTGTTTTCCTGAACCACCGACAAGGTTTCAAAATTGAGGCCCTGACAAGAACATGAAGAAGAAATGGCTACTTGAAGCGGATACTTCGCTATCTTCTTCCATTGTATCTAATTCTAAATTTGTATCGAAAAATGCCATTCACTTGTGTTTTGCCTATGCTTTGTAGAATTTGAGATAACACGTAGTAGACATTGCTGGTGGACTTGCAGTTCCGAAGTTTGCTGTAATCTGCATGACACTATTTACTTAACCGAATAATGGCACGGTTCAAAATTAAATTTGTTGGATTTCAGGACTAGTGCACCTTCCAAACTTCATGCATGGTGACCTGTTTCGATTACCTTCATCCGGCGTCGTGCGTCGTACGTTCGTTAACAATTTAACATTTTCAACTTCTTCTCAAATCTCCTGATCCGATTTCAATGCAATTTTGCAGATATTAAACCTGGCCTAAGATGAACCAAAATTGTGAATAATACAGTCCCACTCTGCAGGGGCCAGAGAGGCGGGGCCAAAAGGGGTCAAATTGACTCGAATTTCAAAAATCGTCTTCTCAATACTCAGATATGGAAGAATAAAAAAAAACTCGTCATGGATGAAAGCATCTTAAGGTGCTTTACCAAAATTATGAACGTCATTATCCCAGGGTCTCACATTATTACCCTGTGGGGAGAGGGTAAATATTAATCTAGCTTATATAGGAAAAATAGATTTTTAACATATTCTGTTTAATTTCCCGTTGGAAACGTTTCAAACTTGGTTAGAATTATAAGTGAAGGATAATAGCATGATGGTATGCCCATGTTGATCCGTGCTGACCCCAATGTGGCTGATGGGTGGGGCCAAAAATTTCAAAAATCTTCTTCTAAACACCCAGGTATGGTAGAATAAAATGCTGGAAATTTTGGAGCGTAACGTTGGTTATTTCCCATTGGAAATAACTTAGAAAGAATTATTAGTACAGGAGGACAGTTTTGCTGATATGTATATATTGACACTTCCTTACTATATTCAGTGTCACAATTTCTGTTTCATGACACTTGATAACTATCCCTTAACCTCTATAATCGTTAGGTCTGTTGCTTATACTATATTCAAATAATGATATCATTCAGAATATACATAATGAGTGACATTCTTTGAAATTAATTGAAATATGAAACTAGTGCACCTCCCGTTTTGACATTTCGATAAATTTCAAAAGTGTCATATGAAATTCTGATTATAAGTAAGAATATTTTTGAGTCAACGAAAACGAAGTGCTCCGGAAGGTAAAGCGTTCTCTGTTTCGTCGACGAAATCTGCCATGTGAAGCTTATGAAGTAAGGTATATATTTTTTTTCTTTTGTGTCGAAAATGCATACACTGTATGTGTGATGTAATAAAGGACATACGTTTGCTGCAAAACAAGAACCTGTCTGCACATGGTTTAAAGCTTAATGTAAGTTGTGCAAGATCAAAATGCAAATGTCTCACAAAAGGCGAGATACGACTCTTAGGCTGATTCATGGACACTTCATGCTTCATATCTTGAAGAGTAGACTAGAACATTTTTGGCAAGGAGCTAGATATTGCGTCCAGTGATTCAAATCAATTGGCTGATAAACGCAGTGTCAGAGCGGGTCATTTGTGTGTCTGGGAGAGTGTCTAGTGAGTTGTACTGGATGTTCATTGTTTTCAGATTAGTAGAAGGATTATTTAGACAGTAATGTGGCTTGATTCTATTCAGGTCAGGTTGAGGGTTAATTATTAGGAAATTTAAGATGGTAATTGTTGAAATTAAACAGTGTCGTGGAAATAGAAAGCGGTGTATGGCTGTTGAGGTGAGTCATGAAGAAAGGAGTTCTGGTATGGACACCACTGGTACTTACGGATTGAGAGCTGCGGATTGAGAGATGCGTGATTTGTACATTTTTACATATTTAAATAATTTTATATTTTCGTTCTGTAAATACACTATTAATAGAAGACAGACAATTACGTCATCATATTATTATATTGTGATTTTGATATTTGTGTGGGATGTTCTTGTGAAAGGTGGACCTCATACCGATCTTCACTATATATTTACTGTTGAGTTTTTGTCACTTGTCTTCTATAGATATTTAAGTAATTGCTGTATTAAACCTTATTAAGGTATTTCTAAAATTTCAAAACAAAACATTTGTTTTAAAATCTACGTATCATGTACAATAAACAACAATCTTTGTATATTTTCATGAACATATCTTTCTTTAATAAGTACGAGTAATAATGTACAAACCTGATCCAGCGCAGTTTTGGATTTGAAAAATAACCGTAACGCGCTTCACCTCACGTGTTTAATTATCGCTCTAGTGCTACATAATCTACTGAAGCAAAGTAAAGACACAATGCTTTCATTACATAGGTGACAAAACATATACGGGTCGTTTCTATTCCTTATGGAGCTTAGGTCATTTGTGTTATAGCGAACAAGCGTATCGCATACATTAGAATCACAAACGTCATAACAATCCTTC